ACTGAAACATTCATTCCTAAGGTGCTCAGGTCCAAAAACCAAAACCTCAGTCTTGTCTGTTCAACAGGAGAAAATTAAGGGTCATCCAGGTTTTTATGTCTTTAAGACATGCTTGTAACTTAAGGAGATAATTGGATTCATTGGGTTTCATGGACCTGGGATGGACTTGCGACCCGTCCAGGGTGTACCCCGCCCCTCGCACAGTGATTGCTGGACATGGGCACCGGCGACCCCCGTGACCCAAAATGGAACAAACGTGTAAAGATAATGGATGGATGGATGGGTTTCATGGACAAATATAACTGAGTATCATCAGCATAACAATGAAAATTTATCCCATGCTGTTTAATAACTTTACCTAATGGAAGCATATATAAAGTAAAGAGTATTGGCTCAAGCACTGAGCCCTGAGGAACTCCATGACTAACTTTGGTGTATGAAGAAGATTTATTATTTACATTTACAAATTGGAATCTATCAGATAAATATGATTTAAACTAATTTAGAGCTGTTCCTGTAATCCCAACATCATATTCAAGCCTCTGTAGAAAAATATTCTGATGCATGCTCAAAAAAAATATTTTGGCCCTGGACCGATCGCCCCCCCCCCCCCCCCCCCCCCCTCGGTCACTCTGAGCCCACCCTGCCGGCCAGGTGACCCCTCGAGCTGGGGAGTCGACGCACGAAGGTCCGGTGTTTTTTCTCTCTCTCTCTGGACCTCAACGAACTCTTATTTGGACCTTTGTGGTTCTACCTGGTTCCGACAAATATCGCCGGGTGGTATTTCGCTGGTTTTCAGCTGGACTGGCCCTCGTGGTGTTTCCATAGGTGTGAGGGAAGTGTACCTGTGACCCTCGAATTGGACCAGAACCGAATCGAGGTGGATGTGGGGAAATTCGTCTTCTACAGAGCCGGTCTCAGCTTCAGTGAGCAGCCGTTACTTTTACTGAAAGACGATCCACCTCCGTGGAGTCGTTGTGTTCACCTGGAGGAGACGCTCCGGTGCTTTGAAGCGCCGCCGGACCGGAGCAGAACCGCGCCGCCGGGCTGCCGGACCGGAGCAGAACCGCGCTGCCGGACTGGGCCGCCAGACCGGAGCAGAACCGCGCTGCTAGACTGGGCCGCCGGACCGGAGCAAAACCGGGCCAGGGATATCTTCAGCCTCTTCGTCTCTCGTGCTTGGAGCGCCGGAGCCGAACTGGAGCAGAACCGGACCGGACCAGTTGCCGACTTCAGCCTCAGCCTCTCCGGTCAGTCTCGTTTTTCACCGGGGGTGCCCCGTGCTGTCGGGTGCTGAGAAGCGGAGGAGCAGCGTGGAGGAGCAGGGCTGCGTGGTGCTCGAGTGAAGTTCGGTGTTTGTATCGGAGCTGCTGCAGGCCTCCATCCAAACTCACCTGGATAATAATTAATTTTATTCCGGATCACGTTGTTGGCCCCTGTTGACCTGAAACGAGCTTGGATCATGCCTTTCACTTCAGGAGGATTTTCTGGCAGCTCGCTCTGCTATTTGCTGCGAATTTTCTGTTTCTGTTTCGGCCTGTTGATTCTGGACCCAGCTTCTGTTTCTCATGGGAGCATCCATCCATCCATCCATCCATCTTCACAGGGGGGCCGGAGCCCCCCTCAGCCTGACTCAAACTGCAGTTGGGCCACCTCGTCGGGTTTGTTTGCCCATTTGAACTGTGACATTTTATGGTCTGAATCTTTTCTGCATCATTCATATTACTGTCACTATTTTCAGTTCTCAGATTATCTGGAGTCACTGAATCTTGTTAATACACCTGAATCTGTCCATCACTGCAACTTTCACTGTTTTTGGGTTCTGAATGATCACATCTTCATTAATGTTTCTCATGGTTCAATTATGGGGGATAATTGTCACACTGTTAACTCCTGTATTTACACATCAGTCACAAAAAACCCAAGAAAATGTCTGATAATAATGTTGTTACTGCTCTCAGGAATTCAACCCAACCCTGGACCCCCCATTAATTACAGCACACCAAATGACTTTAAAAATGCCTCTGGGCTTCATTTCCTGCATGTAAACGCTCGTAGCCTTCTGAAAAAACTTGATGCTGTGAAAATCCTGGTCAGTTCTTCTGGGGCTGATGTTATCTTTATTTCTGAGTCCTGGCTCAACAAATCTGTAATGAATAATGACGTGGCAATCAATGGATTTAACATCTACCGCTGTGATCGTCAAAAAAGGGGGGGGGGGTGGAGTCATTATTTACATTAGAGATACCCTGGTTTCAAGTCTTGTGACTTCCAAAACAATTCCAAACCAGTTTGAAGCCTTATCTGTAAACATCACCTTGAATGGAGGCCAGGTTTTAACTGTAGTCTGCTGCTACCGCCCCCCCCACAGCTTCACCTGAGGCATTAAATGCCATGAAGGAATTCCTTGGTAATTTAAAATTCACAGAGGTCTTTTTAGCTGGAGATCTCAACATTGACTGGTGTAAGTCGACACCCCTCTGTGACAAATTCAAGGAATGTTGCTTGTCCTTTAATTTAACCCAACTGATCGACTCCCCCACCAGATTAAATAAAAGCCACCCTGACAATTCCTCCATCTTAGACCTGTTTCTAACTAATATGCCTCACAAATTCCCTGGTACAGGTGTATTCGCTGATCTTTTGAGTGATCATTGTGTGACAGCGGCTTTAAGAAATAGTAAACTTCCACCTTCTAAGCCCAGATTAATTAAAAAAAGGGATCTGAAACATTTCTGTGAACAGTCATTCCTCTGGGATCTGTCTCACTTTGACTGGCATCGTATTCTGTTAACTGATGACGTGAACTCCGCTTGGAACTATTTCCATAATAATTTCATTTATTTCCTGAACTTACATGCTCCTTTTCGTCAGTTCAGAATAAAGGGACGAGACAGCCCCTGGTTTACTCCAGAGCTAGCTGACCTCCTGCACAGGAGAGATCATCTTTGGGCTGCAGCGAGAAAATCTGACTCAGACACTGATTGGTTGAGTTTTCGACAGATGAGGAATAAATGTACAACTGCTGTCAAAGCAGCAAAACAACTATTTCTTATCTCAGACCTCCAAAAATCTAAATGACCCTAACAGATTCTGGAAAACCATCAAATCTCTCTCAGGCACCCCCCAATCATCTGACCTCCCATCACAACTTCTCGTTAATTCTGTTCCTGTGTCAAATAAGCACGAGATCCTGAACTGTTTCAACAAACATTTTGTTGCTTCTAGTTCTTTATTTGACACAGTTACTAATGGAAAATCAGCCACTTCACTTAATAACCAAACTTCTACAAATCAAATCCCTCCTACAAGTCAATCCTCAGTTAATCACAGCTTCTCTTTTTCTCCATTCTCAGTCAGTGAGGTCAATAAACTGTTAAAAGATCTTGATCCTAAAAAATCTGCAGGTCCAGATGAACTTCCACCTTATTTCTTAAGGCTGGCTGCTCACATCATCACAGTCCCTGTGACCCACATCTTCAATCTCTCCATAAGACAAAACTCCATCCCAGACACTTGGAAAACAGCCTTTGTTCTTCCTTTGCTGAAGGGAGGTGACCCCACATCACTGAACAACTATCGACCAATCTCTAAACTCTGCATTTTAGCCAAGGTTCTAGAAAAACTGATAAACTCTCAAATCAAAAATTACCTGGACTCATTTAACATCTTACCTCCACATCAATCTGGTTTCAGGAAACAACACAGCACAACCACTGCTTCACTGAAGGTTCTTAATGACGTTGTTGAAGCACTGGATGCTAA